CCCAGAGGGGCGGAGTCTAAGACCCAACCTGACATATAGACACAGACGAACAGGCGCACAGACACAACCTGCATTCCCACCCCCATATACACATATACAAACACTCAGCACTCACCCAACGTAAAGACAGACAAATAGACACTGTTCACACAATCACACTCCTAAACATATTTATACCCCAGGTCCAGGTCCCCTCACCCCCAGAGGGGGAAACAGCACCTAGATGTTACCCTTTGTGTTAAGTGTTACTGTGTTAACGTCTAAAACTGATATTAATTATCTGAAATTAATTTTGCTTTTTTATTTCATGTCCACCTGAGAGAACAAAGTTTCCAAATAGACCCCTCACTCAGTCACTGCTAAAGCTCGGCCCAGCCCTCTTCGGGTCGCTCATCAGCGCAGGGACAAACTGCATCACTCTGAATACTGTGTAACTGGGTTTTTTTCCTCTTAATAAAGAACATCCTTCTTTTAGAAACTGTGTTTTGTGTTTAGTTGTGTTGTCTTTGTCTAATATTTACTTTTGTCTGATGGATTAACCTTGCTAACCAAACGTCCGAGCACTGATGGTGATTTATTTAAAAACTTTCTCCCAGTGCAGAACATCAGACATCAGAACGAGTCCTGTTTCTACGTGTTTTAGGGTTTTAAACTCTTAGTTATTAAATAAAACTGAAAGTTAAATATGTTGAAATATTACAATTACTGCCTTTTATCATCATTATATTTGTCAGTGCTAAAAACTGCACAAATGCAGAACAGCTCATTATCATGGCCTGATGGAGGACGCTCCTGAAAGCAGTGCTGTAGCACTCTTGTTTTTCTGTAGGTCATCGATCAGCCCAGTAAACACCAACCAACAACGTAGCAAAGTCACATGGTCCTTACTTTGATGGTGTAAAGTGTGTAGGGGTGCGAGCCGGTGCCTCGGTGCTCCTTAGCCGTGATGGTTCCAGTGATGCGGAGGTTTTGGATGATGACGGGTCCCTCGGGGCTGCTGAGGGGCTCAAAACTGAACGTGGGGACAGAGGAACAGCACTGCAGTGTACTGACAACACTCAGCTCATTAGGGTTCATTACCCCAGTCTGCTCTGCGCCCATAAGAAGGCCTCTGTTGGCGATTATAGACGGGGAACTGCCTTCTCTCTCCAAGGAACGAATCGTGCTGATACTGGAGTCCCTCTCTGCTGTGCTGAGCGATGCTGAGCAGCCATTACTCTGCTCCTCCGATTCTGAACTCAGCAGGAACTTGGTTTGGTCATCCACTGGACTGTGGCAAACATCCTCCAGATCCAACCCGTAGTTGGTCTCGACAGATGCGGCGCAATCTTTCCTGCTGTCGTCCAGACCATCATCTTGTCCGATCATGACCAAAGAATCGCTGGAGCTGCGTTTAAAATCAGCCAGAGGAGAATCCGGGTCGGAGTCATTTTCCTGGTAAAATGGGTTTGACTTGCTTCCTCTTGTGTAGCGCCTTAAAAA